CAGAACCGGTAGTAAAAAAATTTGGATTTCACCACTGCTTTAAATATATTAAGTATGTGAATAAGGTTCTAGAAGACAGTATTTTCAATATTAAGCAAAAATCAAGAACCCAGGGGCATTCCTCAAACTGACAGACAGGAAGCTCAAAAGTAATGTTAGAAAGTATTACTTAACAGAAAGAGTAGTGAAAACTTGGAACCAATTACTCAATCATCACTAAGTTTAAACATGGTTGGGATAAACATATGTTTATCTGATCAATTTTTTTACATAAAAATAATTAAAATAATAACTAAATTGAAAACAAAACTAAAACAATGAAACACAATTCAAAGGATAGACTCAAGAGACCACTGGATCCTTTTCTGCCATCTGTTTTCTGTGTTTCTTTGTTGCTTATCTATATCCTTGTTTAAGAACTGCAGTTGCCTTTGAGTTACAATCTCAAGATTGCCTTCCACAAAGTAATGGATGGAATCAGGGTATTAAAACTAACTAAATAAATAAAACTAAATTTTATTTTATTGACTTACCATAGAAATTAAATATATCAATGCACTTCAATCATGTATTCATATTTTCCCCTTTCTGTACTTTTTAAAATTATGATTTGCAACAACTTTGGGAGAGATCTGCTGTCTGTATTTAATCATTCAGATTATGTTTTGTGTTACAATAGGGACCATATAGAAAAATTAAGGATCTAATTTCTCTGTTATCATACACAGGCTTGCAGTTTTTCAACTGTGAAATAAATGCCCCATGAGATTTGAAACAAAAAGAAAAAACTATAGGAATGCCACACAAAAATAGAGCAATGATGGCAAGCTGATTACAGGCCTACTTGTTCCTTGCTGTTTTTCCCAATAAGGTGCAATCCCACTCTGATTTTAGTGAATTGTTCATCAAACACAAATGACATTGTTTACTGTGTTTCATTAGAAGTCCATTATATGTAAACCATTATTCAGGGAAGTTTTGCAATATCACATGGATCAAGGCTAAGTAAATGTTTTGTTTAATTACACCCTTTGCAAAACTACTAAGATGCTGTGCTTTTCAAATCCTTTTATACTGGTGATCCACATTTTGGAATTGCATGTAGGCAATCACAATAATTGTGTCTGAAAATGACCAGTTAGAAACTTGAACTGGTCATCTGAAAATGAAAGTTCTGCAGCTGCATGTGCAATCAAAATAATTACACAAGTATTTGCTGGAATTGTTGAGAGAATATGAGCCATTCTGTACAATGCCTATCAAAGGATATGTCCTCTACAAATGCAATCAGAAATGGTCCTTTAACTGGAAAGATGGACTATTTTGACCCTGCTTAAATACTACAGCATTATAGCTACTTATTTTTACCACTAAGCCTAGCACTGCAGTTTTTAAAATGCCACATGCTTGATGGGAAAAGGAATAAGAGTAATACATATAATCCTTTATGGGTCTTAGATGTGAAAGTAATTCTCAAAAGTTCTCTGGCAGAGTATACAAAGTTTTAAATATGCAAACATCAGACATACGATTATGTCTACTTGTTCACTAACAAGTAGTGAATTTTCTGGAGTGGTTGGTTATAATCAATGTAAAGAATGAAATAAATAATATATAAGTACATTTCCAAAAACTCTAGCAATTTTGAAGAACCAAATGTGGCCAAAAGTGCACTTTTTGCTTCCATTGCATTGTCCACCATGTTTCTCCATCCCCCACATCTTTCTCTCTTTCATACTGTGCTTTATGTTACATTCAGTGTTCACAATGCCACTCAAAATGATTGACACGGATGCATTTTAACATCAGTCTCAATCCACTTCATGTGTGATGTTTTAAGATGTTTGGGTTCAACACTGTAGTATATAAGGAAAGCATTGCACTCGTGGAAGTGTCTGCAAGAATTGACCTTAGATTATATGAGCTACTAAGATTGACAGAACTGCAAAATCCCAGTCATATTAGAACATCACCAATAACTGCTAAATCTGTATGCTAGACGTTCAAGCCCCGACCTTTAACAAAAGATAAATAGATATCAATTTTCATTTAGAAAAAGCCAACAAACATTCTCCATTGACAGAAGCATATTACTGACCTTCTCTTCTAACTTTATTAAATAACTAATTTCTATGAAAGATCTGGTTATTTGAAAATGCCAAAATGGCAATAAATATTAAGAAATTATAATGGAAGTAAGCACAATTACTGCAAGAGTATCCCATTTTGTCATTTTAGACAATACAGCTTCTACAGCTTGCAAAAATAGAGCTTTAACGAGGACTCTTTTACAGTATAATAAGTATACTTCTCCATTTATATCACAATTCGAAACTGAATGATTTAATATGAAAATAATTTCAAAAAGATGACATCTCTCTCTCCCCCCTCCCTCCTCCCTCCCTCCTCCCTCCACATAAAAATAGATTCATACAAAAACAAGGAAACTTTAACCTAATGATAGTAAAGTAACTGCTACTAGTTAAATAGCAGGTTAGGCTTCCTTAACATCTGTGGTATTATGATATCCTTTATTAAAATCAAAGATGATCAACTGTTCACTTTGGGCTATTTTAAGCAAGGGTAGTCTTCATTTGTGGTATCACATGTAGGTTTTCCTATAGTACAATCAAATGAGAATTATGGTACAGGGCATTATTTCTACCAGGAATGAACTTTAGCTCTCTTGGAAGGGGACCAGTTTCTATAAAGAGTGAATGCATTTACTTGCATACATTCTGACTGCTATGTTGTATAATATACAACACTGCAGTTATGTTCTAAATCAGGCCTGCACAACATATAAGAGAGAAATGGCCGATTGATCAATGAAAAATCCCTGTCCGCTGCAAAGAAATATCTGGGACACCAATCAACTGTTTAATGGCTACGAAGCAGCAACAGCTGGAAGCACTGGAGACAATCAGCAAGACAGCTTTCAGGGCAGTGCTGATGAATGTATTGATTTAAAAAAAAAAATACCAGTAGGCCACACAAAGCTGCTTGGTAGGGTTGCAAGCATCCCATAGGCTGTATGTTCTATGGATTTTGTTTAAAATAATTGCAACTGCCCAGAAGCATACAGTGTTGCTCAATATCAGGAGTGCTTAAAAGTTGTGACATGGGGATCGTAAATATATTTTGGTTACTTTAATATAATTTAGATATGCTTGGTAAGTAACTACCGTGTTTTCCCAAAAATAAGACCCTGTCTTATATTTTTTTGAACCTTGAAATAAGCTCTTGGCCTTATTGCCATGCACTCAAAAGCCCGATTGGGCTTATTATCAGGGGATGTCTTATTTTGGGGAAAAACAGGGTACATAAATATCATAACTTTTTAACACATTGTTTGTTTCAATTGAATGAATGAATTGACGAATGAGCAGTTCTTTCAATTGCAGTACCAGACACAGAATTTAAAGAAACTTGCATTAGGGGAATCTTCAGCAGAGCTAAATGGAATATATGAATTGGCATTACAGCTCTTTAATTTAAAGGTTGCATGTAATTGATTCTGTACAGACTGTGTGAATTAAAGTTTAGTAAAATTAAATTGACTGGAATCAGAATTAAGCATGAATGTTATTTTCAGGCTCTTATAACAAAACTTTGTGACAATGTAATAAAGAAACAAATATAACTGAATGGATCTAAAAATTTACAAAGGCAAGTATTGAGTATCTCTGGAGATGACATTTAGTTTGCAAACACTTTTCCATTGTTCCACCCACCTAACTCAGAAAGCAAGCACCAGAAAAAAAGATCTTTGTTGGTATCATAATATATGGTAGATATAAACATTAATACATATCAAATCATATATGTCACAAAAGATAGTGAAATATATCTATCAGCTATTAGAACAATATCCAGAAATTGGTTTCTTCAAATCTGGCATGTTTTTATTAGGACTGGCCCTAGTTAGAATAGTTCAATAACTTATTCCAAATTGACTTGCAGTCTTTAAAGACTGGCCTCATTTAATGTAATACGATAATGAAGTCCTACGCTGCTCCACATCTATTTGTATACAGTCGTGTATTCTCAAGAGATGTAAAATGTGTTTAGTCCATTACTAAATTTAAATTTCTTTTGCAATTATATAAATTACAAGATTGGGATTTCAATTATTGAAAATCAGAAGCTTGCACAATGTCTCTGCAGTGTTTTAATTGACTTTCCCTTTATCTGTTACAGTTGAAAAACTGGTAAATCTCCATAGTGACTAAATTTATAATTGTAACCACAGGATTATTCATTCAGTTAGGAATAATGTTTTCTCCAACCACAAGGATATCATCTTAAACTGGTCACCTTAAGTAATTTTGTACACAATCAATAGCAATATGTATGTATGTATGTATGTATGTATGTATGTATGTATGTATGTATGTATATATGTATGTATGTGCACACACACACACACACACACACACCCCAACTCAACTCTATCATTCAAATTTGTTGAGCTTAACATTGAGGAACTAGAAAAGAGCAACCTGGTTGCTCACAAGAAAAAAGAATAGTTTGCAAAAAAAAAAAAAAAGAGAGAGAGAGAGAGAGAGAGAATATAATGATCTTTAATTAGATCATAATTAAAGCATAATAAAAGCCCTTGTGACAGCTATGCAAAAGAAATCTTGTTAATGTATGAAATGGCACTTGAACTTGGCTGAAATGTTCCAGTCAGTCAACCCAGTACAGCTGGTAAGTAATCATTATTAATATGCCAAGGTAGAAACCACTAAATAGCTAATTACCACTAGTCAGTGGCTGTTGCAACCACTTCTTATATCTCCTCTTAACTCACTGCCTATTTCTTCTGCCCTTCCCAGGCTGAAAGGAAATCTTCCTTTCTTGTTCTCTTGTTTAGGACAGTGAGAAAACTGACCATTCTCAATTTTCCTCTATTGGAAAATTCTAGGTCCTAAGGTTATCTCCGTCAATATATACGTGTATCCGTCCCATAAATGTAAATAAAGAAACAATTAACTTACCTTTCCTTAACTGTATTTTAAGACGCTTCCCTATCCTTTTGGTGTTATAGCCAGAGTTCAAAGCTGTATGAACTTTCTGTGGTGTTGATGACAGACCCAAAGGTGGTTTTCCTGAATTCACATTATGAGGTAGTTGTGAGTAAGAGTCCAACGCATCAGCTTGATTGCTCGCTTGGGGTATTTTTTGTAAAGTGTGAAGTCCAGAGTGGTCGATACCTTTACTGTCTTGATACTGGGAATCAGGACTAAAACGGCTGGAATGGTAAGCATTCTTTTCGCTTTGGGACAGCTTTATATATTGTTGTTTTCTTGCAGCAGGAACCACATGGAACCAAATGATGGGTGTACGCATGGCTTGACGGAACATATGCTGTGCTCTAGGTTTTAAAATGAATGGAAAATTAACAAATTAAGACTGGCAGACTAGTAGATATTACAAACATAATTACTGATGTTAATTAGCCATTATGAAATGACAGACATATTGTTCTTACTGAACTGTAAACTGAAAAGGATATTTCTTGGAATGATATGTTCACAAATGCCTTTTGTTTCTCAACTATGTTCTTCTTAGGACTATTTTTTTTTTAAGTTTTCCTGTTTCTACTAGTTAAAATAACTGTGTTATAATTTTTGAGATCCTGGTTGTACTGTTAAAAAATAGCATAAAACTGCAATTCTTCTCACCAAGATATTTAATACAAAATACTGTTAATCAACAAACATATGGAGTTACTCTGCATGATGTCCATCTAGCATATTTCAAAATAACGTATTAAACTGTAAAGCTAGCATTTTCAGTTTACTCAGAATCACAAGCCATATCAGATTATTTTTCTTATTATTTCAATGATTCTTTCTGAATCAGTTGTATTTAGTGACATAATGGTGTCACTAAAGTTGTATTTAGTGACACTAAATTCTAATCAATGGTGATTAGAATGTATTATTTGAATAAGCCTGTATATCTATTTTTTTTCTTCCATAAAATTGTGGATCTCATCTAATTAAAACATAGTTATGTGGAGTAGTGATCCAAAGATCCACTCAAGAGTTTAGTATAGGCTGCAACAGTAAACACTATATGTTTATGTACTAGTGTTATCGCACAATACACATGCAAAAAAAATCCACTAGTTTGCACAAATCATAATACTGTACTCATGAGAGATTTTGAATATAAACTAGACTTTTCTGTTTTTTAAAACATATGCTCTATATTTGGAAAAATTCTAGAACATAAAAAAGCTGTCGGAGTGGGGGAAGCTTGTATGTTTACCCCTCATAAAATAGATTATTGTTTAGTTTGCTTTGCAATATAAAGTGATGTTGCATAATCTGCTGTTGCATAATCTTGTGTTGTCTTTGCAACACAAAAATAAATCTAGCCCCGTTTCTTCTTTTAAAAGTGTGCATTGATTGATAAAATGCTCAAATGGTATAAACTATGCATTTAGAATAGACTAGAATAACAGCGCTGGAAGGGACATTAGAGATCTTCTAGTCCAATCCCCTGTTTAGGCATGAAATCCTGCACCATTTCAGACAAATGGTTATCCAACATCTTCTTAAAAACTTCCAGTGTTGGAGCATTTACAACTTCTGGAGGCAAGTTGTTCCACTGATTAATTCTTCTAACTGTCAGGAAATTTTTCCTTAGTTCTAAGTTGCTTCTCTCCTTGATTAGTTTCCATCCATTGCTTCTTGTTCTATCCTCAGGTGCTTTGGAAATAATTTGACTCCCTCAAGTTCTGGCAACCCCTGAGATATTGGAACACTGCTATCATGTCAACCCTAGTCCTTCTTTTCATAAGACTAGACATATCCAGTTCCAGCAAGCGTTCTTTATATGTTTGATCCTCAACTCCCCTAATCATCTTTGTCGTTCTTTTCTGCACTGTTTCTAGAGTCTCAACATCTTTTTTACATCATGGCGACTGAAATTGGATGCAGTATTCCAAGTGTGGCCTTACCAAGGCATTATAAAGTGGTATTGAAATTTCATGTGATCTTGATTCTATCCCTCTGTTTATGCAGCCTGGAACTGTGTTGGTTTTTTTGGCAGCTGCTGCACACCCCTGGCTCATATTTAAATGGTTGTCTATTAGGATTCCAAAATCCCTCTCACAGTTACTACTATTTAGCGAGGTACCACTTATACAGTACCTGTGCATTTCGTTTTTCTTGCCTAAATGTAGAACCTTACTTTTTTCACCATTGAATTTCATTTTGTTGGATAGCGCCCAATTTACATTTATTTTCATTAAAATATCCATGCCAATTATAACATTTCACCAGGGTGGTGGGGAAATGTTGGTTCCTATGAAGCTCCAATGCTCTTCTAAACTTGCATTCCATGCTATAGTTTTACTGATTATGGTACTTACTAGATATGCATAAGTATATTTTGAATACAAAATTGCATTTTTTCTTTAACAAGTAAACATAATGATTAACCAACACAATGCTTTTCTTTTCCTATATACAAGTTGATTCACTGAAGGTAACAACCATAGTAGAGGAGAGACCAAAGCAAAATGATCCAGTGAAAGCAAAGCCTTGTAGAAAATTGTTTTGCCTTTATAAATTGCTTCTACCTTGGAGTTCAAGGTCAAGAAAAACACAAACATGACACACGGATAAATGTTATGCACTTACTGCTCAAATCTTCTATTTCGAAGGTCTCCATCGTTAATTTTGACAATACAGTCATTTTCATGAAAGAGGTTTTCCTGTTCTGCTTTACCACCTTTCTCCAGTCTCTTCACCAATAGACCTAAAGTTCTGGAACAAAACATAAACTATTATTAGACAGCCAATTGCTTTTAAGGAACACTTAGATTTTACAAAAAAGCATAGACCCCATCCTAATGTTAAAATGTTCCCATTGTCCTTTAAAAATCAGCAGTCTCAGATCACAGTTCAAAGTGATTACCATAAATTAACTGTACAGTAGACATTTTACATGATGAGTGCAAGAAAGTTTGTCAGCACAAAGCCCACTGAAATGATTTGTAGTGTGTGCGAAAGAATAGATGCTATGTACTATCACTAATCATTTCTATGGCTTCTCTGCATTAAATTATGGATTACAAAATATTTTTCATTTCATTTCCACTCTTCCTAGTCATATCAGAAGAGATGCCTAAATTATTGAGAACTCCTGAAGAGTGGAAAATATACCAGGTACACTATTTTCAGCCAAGAGAAAAGGGACAATCCAGGTAACCATAGAAAAGTCAACTTGACTACAATACATGGAAAGATAATAGAGCAGATCATTAATCAATCAATCTGTAAACATTTTGAGAACTTTTTTTTACCTTAGATAACATTTTTCTTAATTAAAAGAATACTTTGAATATGATATATTTTGACTTCAGTAAAGAGTCCAATAAATGATTCCATGATATTCTGATTACAATACTAAGGAATCAGAAAACACCAGATCTATATTTGGTTTTAAAATCATGAGGTAGCATTAAGCATTAGATAGTTGAATACAAGGGCAGAAAATGTTTAGGAAATTGTAAAGCCAGATCAGACAGCTAATACTGTAGAAGACATTGATAGCAAACTAAGAAAAAATAATTATATTTAATAGAATAAATACAGAGTTCATTAAGAAACAAGAACATAGGTAAAGGTTGGGAAATACTTGGCTTTTCAATAGAATTTATGAAAAGAAACTTAGCTGAAAAATGTCAGCAGCATGACATTGTTGTTCTAAAAAGACAAATGCATTGCTAAGCTGCACCAACTGCACTGAACATTCCATGCTATAGGACAGTGATGGATAACCTTTTTGCCATTGTGTGCCAGGAGGGGGTGCAGGGGAGGTTGACACGTGCCCACACCCATAATTTTATACACCCTGCCCCTGTGCATGCAACACCCCCTCACCCCCTCCTGGCACGCGATGGCCTGGTAGGCCCATTTTTCTTTCTCACCTGACAACTGGAAGTCAAATGGGGCATTTTTGGCCTCTGAAGGACCTCCGGGGAGGGGGAGGAGGCTGTTTTCGCCCTCCCCAGACTCCTAGAGAAGTCCCGGAGGCTGGGGACAGCAAAAAACGGGCCTTCCTGTCCCACTGGAAATTGTTAAACAGGCCGTTTTTGGCCTCTGGAGGACCTCCAGGGGGTGGCAAAGACCATTTTAGCCCTCCCCAGACTCCTAGAGAGGCCCCGGAGCCAGGTGAGGAAGAAAAACTGGCCTTCCCCACCCCACCCCACCCCGGGAAGCAGGAAACAGTCTGTTTCCCTACTTCCAGTGGGCCCAGAAGACCTGAAAATCAGCTAGCCGGCATGCACTTGTGCGTTGGAGCTGAGCTTGTGTACCCAGTGATATGGCTGTGTGTGCCACCTGTGGCACACATGCCAAAGGTTCACCATCACGGCTATAGGAAGTTAGCATTGTACTATATTCCACAGTAGACAGGTCCATTTTGATGAATGAGCCTGATTCTGGAGAAATCACCACATTTTAAGAAGGATTCAGAGAAAATGAAATCATAGGGATAGCCACCTTTAGGAACCTAAAAACAGCCTGACCTTGACATATGCTTAGGCTTGGAAACAAGATGACCAAAATATTTGTGCATCTGTGATGATAGAACCATCAGCACTTTTCAATTACCTAGTGGAATTAATAAGTGTAAGACGAGTCTTAACTCCTCTTTAAGAGCCTTCCCTCAACAGAGGGGAAAGGATACGGCATCATCAGTCTACAACACAGTCGTTTGAGCAGTTCCAAGAAAGTTCCATACCCATTTGCACTACTCAGGTGACCCTGACAACAAAGACAAACCTCCAAGTAGAGGTTTGAGAGGTGGCCTCAACTACTCTCTAAATCAGTGGTTCTCAACCTTCCTAATGCTGCGACCCTTTAATACAGTTCCTTATGTTGTGGTGACCCCCAACCATTAAGTTATTCCTAAAACCATCGAAAATATGTGTTTTCCGATGGTCTTAGGCCAGGGGTCCCCAACCTTTTGGACCTCAGGGACCACCAAGTTCATAATTTTAAATTTTGTGGACCACTAATACAAATCCAGTGCGCCACTTGCTGAAGCACCTGGACTCCCAATGACGGGATGGGGTCCTTCAGGCACTCTCCCGCCTCTCTCCCTCTCCCTCTCTCTCTCTCCCTCTCTCCCATTCTTTCTCTCTCATTCTCTCTTTCTCTCTCTCATTTTCTCTTTCTCTCTCTCTCTCCCTCTCTCTTTTTCTCTCTCCCACTCTTTCTCTCTCATTCTCTTTCTGTCTCCCCTCTTTCTCTCTCTTCCCCACTCTCTCTCATTCTCTTTTTTTCTCCCCCCCTCTCTTTCTCATTCTTTCTCTCCCCCTCTTTCTCTCTCTCCCCCTCTCTCTCATTCTCCTTCTCTCTCCCCCCTCTCTTTCTCATTCTTTCTCTCCCTCTTTCTCTCTCTCCCCCCCTCTCTCTCATTCTCTCTCTCTCCCCCTTTCTCATTCTCTCTCTCTCCCCAATTCTCTTTTTCTCTCTCTCCCCCTTTCTCTCTCTTTCCCCCACTCTTTCTCTCTCTTTTTCTTTCCCTCTTTTCTCTCTCTCTCCCACTTTTTCTCTCTCATTCTTTCTCTCTCCCCCTCTTTCTCTCTCTCTCCCCACTCTCTCTCTCATTCTGATTCTCTTTCATTTTGTCTCTCTCTCTCATTCTCTCTCTGATTCTCTCTCTTTCATTCTGTCTCTCATTCTCTCTCTCACTCTCTCTGATTCTCTCTGTCTCTTTCTCTCATTCTCTTTCATTCTTTCTCTTTCATTCTTTGTCTCTTTCTCTGTCTCATTCTGATTCTCTCTCTCTCTCTCTCTCTCTCTCTCATTCTCTCTTTCATTCTTTGTCTCTTTCTCTCTCTGTCTCATTCTGATTCTCTCTGATTCTCTCTCTCTCTCATCTCATGGGCAAGACTGAGGGCCGGAAGAAGTGTGGGAGCGAAGCACTACTTGAACTTGTGTGGCATGAGCATTCGCCTTGGTATATTTGCGCCAGCTGGTTGCCAAGGCAGCCCTCATCTCTCCGCTGAAAGTGCGGCATCAGCATTCTGCCTTGGTATATTTGCGGTGCAAGGCAGCCCTCATCTCCTGCTGCTTGGGACTCAGAACGGTAAACGGTGACTGGTCCGGGGAGCAGCTGGATTTTGCTCTCCATTGTGGATGCCAGATTGGCCCCCTGCAAGCTCTCGTCTCTTGAGGAGCGCTCCCTGAAGCGGTGCTGGAAACTTTGGTCGGGCTCCCCGAGAGACGAGAGCTTGCAGGGGGCTGATCTGGGGTCTGCAATGGAAAGCAAAATCCAGCTTCTTCTCTCTGCTGTAATCAGGATTCCACCTTGGTATATTTGCGGCGCAAGGCAGCCTTCGTTTCCTGCCGCTTGGGATTCAGAGCGGTAAACAGAGTCTGGTTCGGGGAGCAGCCGGATTTTGCTCTCCATTGCGGATGCAAATATACCAAGGCGGAATCCTGATGCCACACTTACAGCGGAGAGAAGAAGCCGGATTTTGCTCTCCATTGCAGACACCAGTTCGCCCCCTTGCAAGCTCTCGTCTCTCGAGGAGCCCGGCCAAAGTTTCCAGCCCCGCTTCAGGGACCACTCCTCGAGAGATGAGAGCTTGCAGGGGACCAATCTGGCATCCGGATTAGAGAGCAAAATCCGGCTGCTCCCCGGATCAGATGCCATTTACTGCTCTGAGTCCCAAGCGACAGGAGAGGAGGGCTGCCTTGCGCCACTGGCTGACATAAATATACCGAGGCGGAATGCTGTTGCCGTGCAAATGAAAGTAGTGCTTTGCTCCCGCAGCTTCCAGCCATCACAAACACCGCTTCTTCCCGCTTCTGCCGCCCTCTCCCCCACCGCCACAACAGCACCATTCATTCCGGATGGCGAGGGCCATCCTTTTTCCGTATTGCACTACCTGCAAAAATGCAAAAATACGAAAATTTCTCCATGGACCACCACAGGACCACTGGTTGGTGACCACTGTCTTAGGCGACCCCTGTGAAAGGGTTGTTCGACCCCCAAAGTGGTCGCGACCCACAGGTTGAGAACCACTGCTCTAAATGAATGCAAATGACCAGCTGTCTGCAAGGAATATAAATCCTTCCAGCAGGCATAGCTACTTGCAGCTGGCACACTCTGAAGCACCATTTTGCCTTCTAATTGAAACTGCTGCACAACCCAATTTGTTGTGGCAGTCACGTGTTGATACAATTACTGTGTGTGAGACACATTTCTATTTATTCATTTTTATAACATGTTACTTGGATCATAATATGCACCACATGTCACTTTAGAAAAAAAAAATTCCTATTCTGAAAATAATGGATTTGAGAATTTGATCTAAGTAAACCTTTTCAGCTTTGCAGCCTGGCTGGTGGGGCAGGGAGAGGGGATTGTTTTTTTGCGAGCGGTGGACAAGTGAACACAGCTGCTTACTGGATTTCTCTCTCTCTCTCTCTCTCTCTCTCTCTCTCTCTCTCTCTCTCTCTCTCTCCCTCCCTCCCTCCCTCCCTCCCTCCCTCTCTCCTAGCAGCCAATGGCTCTTCCGTCCCAAGAATCGGTCCATGGATTTCCACTACTCTCCTCTCCTCTGTCTTCTGTGCATCCGAGCATCAGGCACTAGACCCAGCTGTTCCTCCTCTTCCTCATCAGCCACTTCTAGACCTGCACTGTTGACTCTCCATCTGAGGACTGATGGATAGCCCAGGCTCCACCTATGTCTCTATCTCTGACAGGTCCAATCCCTCTTCTCCCTAGGAGCATTCCTCCTCCTCAT